TTTCATCTACATGTACTCAAAATGACAAAGAGATGGGCTGTCTCCAGTGTGGTCACTACTGGTCTGGTTTGGGTTTTTTTTTTTTCCTCTCCTGTGAGAAGAGAAACAGGAACTTTCCCTTCACTCTTGACTTTTTTTTTTTTCCCCTCGTTTGGATTTTCCCTTCTTTCCCCGTGTCCCCATTTTCCCCTGCTGTTTCAGCTGCTGTCCCAGCGATGAGTACAGATCCCCCTGGTTGTTGTACTCTACAGTTCCTAGAACTACATTTATTTATATTTGTTCTTGGAACCAAGATGGTAAAAATAGCCTAAAGGCCATGGAAATAGTGAGGGAGGGGAGTATAATGCATTTTGCACTGCTTTCATGGATTGCCAAAAGGTGGAAACCCTGTTGATTGGAATTGACTTTTCCCATGTCTCAAAGTTAGCCGACAGCTCCCTAAGTTGATCTGGAGGCCTGGGAAAGGACATACTCCATTGAGTAGAGTTGCCACCTTTTGGAAAGAAAAAAGGGAAATCTGGAAGAAAAGAATGGGGAGATAAAAAAAAGATGAAAGTGGGCGGTGGGAGGAAGAAGAAAGATTAATAAAGTGAAGGGAAAAAAACAACAGGAACAACAACCAAAATACAAGAACTGTCAGAGAAAAGGCTGCATGTAATTTAGTGTCCTGACTTGGAATGTGATTGTACCATGTGTGGGAGAGGGGAGTGTAAACATCTCCAATTGCCCCACAAAGAGGTCTCGCTCTGATCTCAAAAAATCCACGACTTAATGTCCAAAACTGAGCTTTCTGTATATCCTTTCCAGCCTGGTTTCTTAACTAGATATGTTGTAACACTGTGAGCCCTATGAACATGTGGTACTTCTGGGGCTGGTGTCAGGCTTCTGCACTCCAGCATGGAAGAGCAATGATTTTTGCACGGGAGAGCCAAACCCGCAGGATACAGCTGGGGGTGAGCGTAAGGTGAAGTGAGTGGTGAAGAATGACGAAGGGCCCTGCCATCTTCTGCTGGGAACCGAGCTTTGCCATTAAGATCTGCACAACGCACTTTGAGCTACTACTGCCTGGGTCTCTGGCAGTCTCTGCTGCGGGGTCACTGGTTAGGGGAGGTACAGATAATTCCCAAATGTGGGGCTGTGGACATCCCCACCCCTTCTCCTGGCACAGAGAGCTGGAGAAAAGACTGTTGTAGGCAGTCTCCTGTCTGTCCTGGTGCAATCCTGACCCTACTATTGCTTATCTGTTAGTGCTGGGATTTTCAGTGATACCTCCCAGTGAGGTTTGTGCATCTAAATCTCTCAACCTTCTTCAAAACCCCAACCTGAAGGTTGTCTATAAACTTAGTATTAAGAGCTGTAACAGTAAATATATATATAAAAAAAACCCCACACCAATACCACCACAACCAAACCCAAACAAACCAACCCAAACCCCATAACCTCAAATCAAAAACTGTTTGGAAAGAGCTACAGTGATAACTTTCTTACCCTGTAGAGATTAAATCAACATCAAAGACCAGTAAGGAATGTATCCAGGGGGCTGGTTATTGCACTATTACCTACAGTAGGGCTTCATCCTTACACACATGAGATTAGCCATTATTGCTGATACTGGCTGGTCAGCACCCCTTCTGCTTAGGGCTGTCTAATCTATAGCAGATTTGTCTGGGGGACAAATATTTGGTGCAATATGAAGCTGCATCACAGAGCGAGATAACAGGTAGGGTGGATGATTGCTGCTCAAGCATGTTCCCAGGCCCTCTTTTATTTAACAAGAGGCATGTGTCCATAGGAGACCAAAACCTAGGTCATGTTTTTCTGCATAACTTTATCACAGAAACAGTGCTGTTGTGTAGGACGGTGCCCTCAGGTGTCTGCAAACTGGCTGATGTCACTGGCCAACTGTTTATAGTGTCCCAAAGAAGGACTTCGAGGTTTTTAAGTGTTTGTCTGAAGCACTGGCAAAGGTTATCCAGGCTGTTACAGTAAAATTGTAACTTTGCAGGATTCAGCCAGAGTAGCTATTGATCCAAATGTCTCACACTGTCACCCAGACAAGTATAAAATGGTAGTCTAGTGCCATGAGTGTACAGAGAGTGCATGTGTCTTCCCCTCTAGACTACATAGTTTTCATTCTGTTTCTGAAATAGCTGTGACATTTGGGCTTCTAAACAGAGCTCCAACTGAAGATGCTCATGATTGTAATTTAGTTGTACTTCTATCTCATTCTCTCTGCACCCCTTTCATCACCACGTCTGCCTCTGCTCTTTCCCCGGCTTGCTGCCTTCCCACTCTCCCCCCCTCCCTTTCTGTTCTCTTCTCTGCATCTATTTTTACTGCTTCTGTCTTCTTTGTCAGTCAACATCTTCCCTGGCTCTTTCTTCCCTTGCTTCTTTCCCAGTATCAAAGAGCATCATTTTTTACTGTATGTATAGGATAAAATGTTTAAAATGTTGGTTTGACCCTGAGCTCTGTCCTCAAAGATTTAAAGGCATTCTTTCAAGAGGTTACAGTTGCAGGCTTTGTATACAAACCCATCATCTTCCTGTCTTTAGATGTGTTCAGCTCTCACAGCATGTGGAGCTGAAGTTCCAGGAAAAACTAAGGGAAGCTGGGAATTACTTGCTGTAGAATAAATGCACTAACGCACACTCTCATGCATCTGTGTCTGGGATATTTTAGATTTCTTTGATGAACTGTAGTCTTGCAGCACAGTGATAGGGTGGCAAATATTGATAAGCCATTTTTGGACACAGAAATGAAAACACGGGTGAACACTGAGGAATCAAGGTCACTTTGACATCATCTATACCAGGCAGTTGAACTGATTTTACTGAATGAATCTTTGCCTGTATGACCAGCAGTGTAACTGTGAGGAATGTTAGGAAGACTCCCAGACATTTGCGCTGCTGTCTCTCAGCTGCTGGGTTTTCTAGCTTCAGGTCTGGCAGACTGAGTTGCACATGCTGTGCATGACAAGAGCACAATGGATGAGATGTGTGAAATTTTGACAACCAGCTACTAGACCATGCTTTCTTTTGGGAAAGAAAGTAGCTCCAGAAGCAATGTTGCAATAGCGGACTGAATTCTCACGCAACTGAATCTGGTCTAGTGCCACTAATTAGCTAAGAGATGGCCATGGTAATTGCACCAATGGGTTTCTGAAACAGGTAGCATGCTGACCATAGTTACATGGGCACATGGCTTACAGGGGACTAAACCTTAGCTAATTGAGCTTATACCCAACAGGGATAAAAGCAACAGTTTTTATTGGGGTAAGGCTTGAGGATCTGTGGAGGTTTAATATGTCCTCAAGCCGAACTGCAAGAGCAGGGCACAGGCTGAGTATCAGGCTCTGTCCCCATTTATTTGTCTTTGTGGTGGTCCCTACAGAGACAATGTCCTCCCTGGTCACTGGAAGCTGCCATGATAATCCATCTCACCTTTGACATCTCAGCATGATTGACCCCCCAGTTAGCCCTGTTGGGATAATAGAGCTTTTCTTGTTTGAAACCAGACATCAGACAGTGCCCCATCTCCTCAGACACAGACCTGGACCCAAAGGTGATGTGTTCATGGCCTCTAACCTTGATTTCTGCAAAACAGCATAACCAGGAGTCAAATAAAATTCCCTCAAAAGCATCTTCTGATGTAAGCACAGCAGTGCATCCACATAGCAACACACTTCTTTGCCGAGCTCACATCACAACAGCAGTCTTCATGTCTGTTACAAAGTCTATGTCAGATAGTCTGTATAGTAATCAAAGCCTTCCTCGGTCTGGATCTAACTGTTTTAGAGATTGTACTTCACTTCAAAACCATAGACAACCATGATCAAAGCTGTAGGTAACCAGAGACAAGGGATTTCAGGAGACATCTTTGATAGGTGCTGTCTCTGTGCTCCTTTTCACAAGAGAAGAGAGTGGCTGTGGACCGTGTGATCCTGAAGAAAGTACGAAACACCTGTCGTCACATGTCTGATTTGATCCAGGGAGTTCTGCACAAGATATGCCCATGTGCACACAAAATGCACCCCAGTTCTGGCTCCCCCTTCCCTCCTCCCCCCATTCAAACAAGCAGCTGAACAGAAAAGTGAAATAACTTGTTTTCCATTCATTTTTGAGGAAGAAAAACGGGTCATTTATCGTCTAAATATTTGGAAGACTTGGTGAAATTAAAATTAACAAGGTCATATAAAAGCCTTCTTGAACAGGTAGATCCAACTTAAAAAAATTCCTGGATTTCGGACTGGTGCAGTTTGTGAGCCTCACTTTGTTTACACCATGGAAAGGAAAGACTCTTGTAAATTAAATATGTACAGATGGCGAAGCAGTGCTTTGAGAAGTAATTAAAGTTTGTGACAGTATTCATTTCTATTTGATCAAGGAAAAACTTTATAGCTCTCTCTGAAACAACTTACTTTCTGCTGCTGCCATCCCACAGAGAGGCTGCATCACTCACTGCTGCTTTTTTTCACAGCAGCTTCTGCTCTCTTTCCTATTTAACTCTCTGCTTTGTCCTTGCACCTATCGATGTGTAGCAGCAGCGCTGGGAGCTGGCATCTGCAGCTCGCCTGCCCCGAAGGGGTTAACTGGGTTTATTACATAATCTGTTTAACATTCGGGATGAATAGGAAACGCACGCCCCTCCTCTCCTACAATATATTTGTGCGCTTTAAACCGCGCTCCTCCCGGGCTGTGTGTAAGCCCCACGCCACTTGACATGCCCTGAGCCTCCCTCCGCGTGTGTGTGCCTGGGCACGCACTTGCACGCTTGCCTGCGGCTTTGCCTCCGTCCCCAGCTCCGCTCATGCCAGCGGCGTTGCACACCCACATGTGCCGGTGCGTGTGTGTGCACGCGTGTGTGCGCACATGAGAGGAGGGGAGCTAGGGGAGGCGAGACGGTCACATTTATAGGAGGTGGCAGCAGTCGTTGTGAAGTGCGAAAGCAAACTCTGCCATCTCTTGGACTGCTCCGACAGGACAGACCGCCCTCACATAATGCCATCTTTCGATGAGGTTTTGAAGGAAGCTGGGGAATTTGGAAGATTTCAAAAGAGGGTCTTTTTCCTCCTTTGCCAGACAGGCATAACATTTTCTTTCCTGTTTGCTAGTGTGGTTTTCCTTGGGCAGGCACCGGGCGATTACTGGTGCAGGATCCCTGGGGCAGCCGAATTAAGCGAACGATGTGGCTGGACGCTGGAAGAGGAACGAAACTTCACAATACTGCCCCTGCGCCTGGGGAACGGGTCCTCCAAAGGAGAGTGCGAGAGGCTGGACGTCGTGTGGGATGCCTCTGTCAGCTGCGCCAGCCCACTCGCCCACTACGGCAATCACAGCGTGGGCAACCTGCCGCTCACCACATGCCACGATAACTGGGTGTATGAACAGCCCCACTCATCCATCGTCAGCGAGGTAAGGAAAATCCCCATCCTCTAGTCAGCGGTTTCTGTGCTGGTATGGGATTACTGCCACAAGGGTCGTTGCTTAGGTGGCTGGTTTTCCTTCCCGGATTTGTTCTGTTCTGAGTCACAAGCAAATTGGGACAATGAGTATGATCAAGTGTCAGCATCAAACTTCCAGGGAAAGATGAGCTGCTCTGAAGAGTGGCTCTCCAAAGCCAATCAAAGCCAAACACCCCACACAGAGATTGCTCTGTTGTAGAGGGAATTAAAAAGAAGAGTTAAGTCCTTGCAGCTGAGGCTTCTGGTGTTCAATTTTGGGCCAGCAACTTTGGTGGTGTAAATCCCAGGTGCAGCCGATACCACTTGACGATCTGGATCACTGTATATTATCCATTCTCTGTATTTCCAGTACCGAACATTTAAGTCTGGAGGTAATTAGAAAGAGTGGTGGCAGACTGCCCTTTTGCGGTCTGACAGGAGTCAGCAGAAATGATTGTGCTTACCAAAGGATAAAAAACAAACACACATTTTCACTCAAAGCTATCATTCAGCTTGTCCTGAAATGTCAGAGTGAGAGAACTGCAGGCTGTTACTACTAGTGGTAAGGGCTGGCAAATGTAGTGGCTTTTTAATGAGGCTGCGAAAAACCATTTACAATGCTTTGCTAGGAGATCCTCTGTGTAATCTGCAGTCGTGCCATGGTCTGCCTCCAGCACACAGGCTACGCACTAGAAGTGTGTATTTTAAGGTCATCCTGAAAGTAATGTTCACCAATGCAGTGGTGAAAAATATGAAGTGTGCTTAGAGGGGTTGGCAAGGAAATCATCAAGGTGCACCACAAAACGTGTCGGCACAGCTGTGGGCTCTGGCTCCTTCCTGTCTCATGAGCCTCCCACTGTGGTTTTTAACTAGGTGCTTGCACTGGAGCTGTGCCCTCTGAAACATGGAGCAGGGCACAGCAGGAGAAGCTCTGAGCAAACACTGAACTGGAAAGCAGTGCCTATCCTGACCTTTCCATTCACCATCCTTCCCCCATCCAGCTGGGACCCCTGTATCTGCTCATAGGCTTCAGGCTCTTCAGAGCAGCAGCTTTGTGCCCTGAGCACCACGTCCAACCTGAGCAGCTTTAGGCAGGATCTATGCTCAGAAGAACATAAATCAGAGCATCTGGCTGGCCCTAGAGCAAAGCTTCAGAACTGACTTTTGTGTGCAATTGCCAAAATCAAGGGTGCTTGGAGGGCCGCAAGTCACACACAAGGAGCTGGTGTCAAAATTTGGTCCCTGGGAATGACCTATGTCTGCCCATGCTGAGAGTGGCAGCCAGGGCTGGGTGTCAGGAGGACGAATGCTGCTCAGGAGCCACAACCTGGCTCCACAGCAAATGGTGGGAGGCAGCTGCGGTGGGAAGGTTATGCTGCTGCCTCCAAGGTATCTCTGCTGGGGGACTGCTGAGGGGTTAGGTCCTAGTATCTTTTACCTCGGCAATCTGTGCTAGCCATTCTCCTCAGAGCTTAAAAATAAAAATACAGAGATTCCTTTTCTTTTGTTGTTGCTCCCCCCCCGCCCCTTCAGCCTTGCTATAGGTGAAAGCCTGTAAGTTGTGTCCATAAGATTGTGCTCAGAGTCCGTTTATGATAGCAGTTTGTGTATCTAGCAAAGCCACTGTGATTTTCCAGCAGTGCTGATCCACTGGGTACAGCAAAGAGAAAATGAAATCAGTGTTTGTGTTGTAGCAATAAATGGGAGTGAAAGGTTCAATGTTCTCTGGTGAACACCTTTCCATCCACGCCTTCTTCCCTGCTTCTCCTGGGGACACCCTCCAGGGTCAGGGGAGGGAGGAGGGATAATGGGATACTTGTGGAAACACCCTCCACCCGTGGTCCCAAAGGAACACACTGGGAAAGCCAGGGAATAACAGCCTGTCAGTAGCAACAGGCTGGAACCATCTGTTCCCTGTGCCAGGGCAGCAGCTCCCGTCATCAGTGTCACTGCTGCTCCTAGAGGGACTCTTGCTTGCCAGGGGCACCTCAGCCGGAGCGTACTTGACTGTGACCTGTGGCACTTGTATGCTGCTCCCAGTTTTGCAACATTTGCTGGATAAATCACATCACACGAGGCTCAGTTTCTTCATCTCAAAAGGAAGATTGTGGCACGCCCATCCTGGCTCAGTTGCTTTGAGATCAGCTATTAAGAGGAGCTTGATATCTATTAATGTGTTACATATCCAGCAAAGACAATTTAAGTCCCAGACTTAATTTAGCCTCCTTTTGCTCATCTGAGGCTCTAACAAATCATGACTCAATTTAAGCAGGCGCTTGCTCTGTTTCATCAGGTCACCAAACGTCTTTTCTCATGTATCTACTTGTAAATGCTTCATTTTGTCCATGTGTGCAGAAATGTTTCTGTTTCTTTCAACTATCTTAAGATTTCTGGCACTGTATGTCTGGGTGAATCAACAGTGGAAGTGACCAGGGAGATAAAGTTATAAGAATGAGTTACATGACAACCTGAAGGAGTGGCGTTCCTCAGGGGTTGGTACTGTGACCTGTACTGTTCAACATCTTTGTCAGCGACAGGGACAGTGGGGTTGAGTGCACCCTCAGCAAGTTTGCCGATGATACCAAGCTGTTTGGTTAGGTAAACGCTCTAGAGGGGAGGGATGCCATCCAGAGGGACCTGGACAGGCTGGAGAGGTGGGCCCAACCCAACCTCATGAAGTTCAACAAGGCCAAGTGCGAGGTCCTACATCTGGGTCAGGGCAATCCCAAGCACAAATACAGGCTCAGCAGGGAATGGCTGGAGAGGAGCCCTAAGGAGAAGGACCTGGGTGTGCTGATGGACGAGAAGCTCAGCATGAGCCAGCAATGTGCGATCGCAGCCCAGAAGGCCAGCCATATCCTGGGCTGCATCAAAAGAAGCATGGCCAGCAGGTCAAGGGAGATGATTTTGCCCCTCTACTCCACTCTGGTGAGACCCCACCTGGAGTACTGCATCCAGCTCTGGAGTCCCCAACCTAAGAAGGTCATGGATCTGCTGGAGCATGTCCAGAGGAGAGCCACGAGGATGATCCGAGGGCTGGAGCACCTCTCCTATGAGGAAAGGCTGAAAGCGTTGGGGCTGTTCAGCCTGGAGAAGAGGAAGCTCCGGGGAGATCTTATTGTGGCCTTCCAGTACCTAAAGGGGGCCTACAGGAGAGCTGGAGAAGGACTTTTTACTAGGGCATGTAGTGATAAGACAAGGGGGAATGGATATAAACTGGAAAAGGGCAGGTTTAAATTAAACATTCGGAAGAAATTTTTCACTTTGAGGGTGGTAAGGCACTGGAACAGGTTACCCAGAGAGGTTGTTGAGGCCCCATCCCTGGAGATGTTCATGGCCAGGCTGTACATGGCCTTGGGCAACCTGGTCTAGTGGTATGTGTCCCTGCCCATGGCAGGGAGGTTGGAACTCGATGATCTTCAAGGTCCCTTCCAACCCAAACCATTCTATGATTCTATATGTTCAGGGAGAAAAAAAAATGGGGGGGGTAAGGAAAAGTCAGGATACTGAAGGAGTTCTTCCAGGCCTATGGCAAGCGCAGATCTGGTGCAGATTTGTAGTGTGACAGCGGAGGCAGAGGGCAAATGCAGCTGTGTAAAGCCTCTGCTGGGAAAAGATGTCATATGATAGAGCAGGTCTGGCAGGCAAACCACAGGCTATTGCAATCAGTTCTGAGCACCCCGGAGAAGATAAATCATATAGCTGGAGGGAATGATTGGTGAGGAGTTGTGAAATGAATGGTATTGCAGTACCTGACTACATTGCTGATTTGTGCATGACAGGAGCGTGCTGCTTGCTGGCCGCTTTGTCATCTTAGACAGCAGTCTTCTGCAAAGGCGTTCACAGTAGCATCAGCAGAAGGAAGCAGAGGAAAAAAGGGTAATGTGGACTGATAAAAAACACTTACTGCTTTGTTAGCAGCATCCGAGGTGCCTGCTGCATCATCTACTGCTGCAGGACTCCTGAGTCTCAGTGCTAGGGCTACAGTGGGGTGCTGGGAGAATATACCAGGGTATTCTTCCTTCAGGATTTGAGAAGAGCAAAGTCTGTTAAGAAATCATCACAGGAGAATCATAGAATCATAGAACGGTTTAGGTTGGAAGGGACCTTGAAGATCATCGAGTTCCAACCTCCCTGCCATGGGCAGGGACACATACCACTAGACCAGGTTGCCCAAGGCCATGTACAGCCTGGCCATGAACACCTCCAGGGATGGGGCCTCAACAACCTCTCTGGGTAACCTGTTCCAGTGCCTTACCACCCTCAAAGTGAAAAATTTCTTCCGAATGTTTAATTTAAACCTGCCCTTTTCCAGTTTATATCCATTCCCCCTTGTCTTATCTCTACATGCCCTAGTAAAAAGTCCTTCACCAGCTCTCCTGTAGGCCCCTTTAGGTACTGGAAGGCGAAAAACATGGCAAAGCCAATTAGCTTGGTCTAGTGATAGGTGACAGAGCACTGCTAAAGGTTCCTTTTTAAAATCTTCTTTTGATGAATAACAGGCTCTGAGAGGAGGTCCCTACTTCTGCAGGGACACGCCTAAGGATCTCTATGCTCCATTGTTTTAGGTCAGGCTTTTCCGTGAGGGCAATCCAGATCACAGGAGGAGTTGTCCACTGGCACCGCGCACACAACCCAGCACAGTGGTGTCTGAATTAGAGCCAAGCAAACCTGATCTGGGATGATGTAAAGGTTTTGAGATATCAGCAAAGTCCCTCGCTATGTGTAAAACTTGGCAGCAACCCCTCCAACGCAATGCTGTCGCAGGTGGTCGATCTGCACAGCGGACCTTGGCCCGGTGCAATCTTCTCCCGTTTAATTGAGCGGGTCTTGCACAGCACCCTGTGAAACTGGAATAAGCGGCTGCATGCGTCAGCGGTGGGACGGGAACCCAGTGGCTTCTCAGATTTTTCTTGGAGAAGGAGGCTGAGTGGGTAATTATTGAGCTAAATCCATTCCTGGCTTGTGCCA